GCCGACTTTTCCTTGAGGCGGAATGAACCGAGAGATTCCGCTATAGGTAGCTCAGTTGGCATACATGTTGCGGTTTTTCCTTTTCTTCTCTTTGATATATTGCGGCACAGTAGCCCAGGTGTTTACCACCTCTAACTAACGTGTATAATGACGATGATGGTTGGCGGGTTTGCATTAATGTGACCAGGGGCTGACGGTCTTGAGGCGGGCGGTAGCAAATCATTGAGCACCGAAAGGTACCCTCGCACCGTCAGAGACCATGCGTGGCACTTGTGCTCTACCCCAATGGAGCTGTGAGCTTATAACCCGTAGACATGTTGTCTCCCATGGCTAAGTTTTAAAGGAAGAGGGCTTAGACTTCACCCTAACCTCGGAGGGGGATTGGATTGTAAAATTGAGTTAGTCTGACGCATAATCACTGACCTCTCTGGTAAGAGTGACTCTGAAAGCACTTGGAAAGTGCCACCCAGCATAGCTCAATGGGTCACAGGGGGCACGTAAACCGTCGCACCACGCTAAGGTTCAGTCTCGTTGCGATGGACATCAAACATACACCTGTTTTAGATGTGGTCCTAGTGGTCTCAGTGACCGACATTCAGAGCAACGCGATTCACAGTGCTGCTTGAGATTGCGTGCCGCAATCCACGTTCCGAAATTGCCCTTCCAGGAAGTGTGGGCTTTATCAGCACTATGTGTAGAGTATAGATTGGTTAGTCGGATGGTTTGCTTGCTGATTGCTAATAAAAATTTTCAAAAAACAAGTAGCCTTACCATGCAGGTATTATCATTCCACTTTTCATCTGCATGCAGCTGTTCGTGTGACTCGACATATACTCGTGCTGCTTCGAGTTCGAACGGCATTCGCACTTATCTACGTAGCTGCAGATTCAAATACGCTCACTTGCCCTTAGAAGTCTATGAAATTTCCTGCACAACATACTCTCTAATAAGCGATCTCGCGCTTACGTTGTGGCGTTCGTTTAGTGTGCAAAGATTGTTACTAGCTACAAGACCAACTGGCACTCTGACTCGCTACATAGGTACCGGTAATGCAATACACGGGCTGCGACGCGAAATTTAAACGGATGATGTAGGATATACTGGAGCAATCACTCCAAATCAGGTCATATTGAACCTAGAAAAAGTACGAAGAGATCAGCCAGAAAATGTTAAACTGGAACCCCTACAGTACCTTTAATTATGGTGAGTGCATCCTCTTCGGAACGGGTAATATTAGCCTCTTTCCAGGAAGAAGGCCTTCGAGAGCCACGGTGCTTAACCAGCAAATGAAGACACCGAATTTCCTCAGGCGAATGAGTGACATTACCAGGAAACTCCCATTGAGACTCCTGTGTTTCCGTATTTACATAATATGTCTTTCCTATAAGAAACGGACGCGTAAGAAATAGGTTAATACAGTGAGATACCTGTGGAGTTGCTGATTTTTGCGATCCAGCCTTCGGGTAAGCTCATCAGAATATGACTAAAAATGAAAGTATATCGGAGAAAGTAAGTCGAGGAAAAAAAGAAAAAAGTTCATAAATGTCGGCAACACGAAGACATTCGTGGATAGAGAAGGTACTTCATGGTGAGCTGGAAGGGCAGGAGACAGCCAAACATTGCTCAGGTCAGGTAAGTGTCCATGGCCGATAAAGGTAATCACCAAATGGGCGTCTTGTATCCAGTGTCAGTAAGAAACTAAGAGCCCACGGGACATTGAGACGCTCTATTTAGGTAATTAGTTTACTGGCTAGCCGAACAACCTCCTCGTGGTGCCAGCTGGGTGATTCGGGTTTACACCGTTCCAGTAAACAGTTCGGCAGCAGTGTTCCAGGACGTAGTGGGTTTTCGCCTGGCAAGCGTTCTCTTTATAAAAAGTCACAAATATCTGCATAACACTGCGACATGGCGGTTGTGATTCGCCACCATGCTTATCCGGAGTACCGCTTTAAGTCCACGAACAGCAAGCATTCCTTTAGCATTGGCGACACGATCAAAAAGGGCAGGAAAGCATTTACAAACCCCATAAAAACAGCTACATACGTCTACAAGCCCACATACATGCATTTATATAACAACATAAGTGACAAGCCTACTGTTCCATTGTACATTAACAGAGCACATTTTTGTACTCTTACCATTATCATGCTTCTGCAGGCGTGCCTCGCGTGGTCGGGAATAAACAGTTTATTTATTTATCTCCAGAAAAAGAGCGAAAGAGGAGTCCGTTAAATTCAAGGGGTTGCATATCATTCTTCGACTCATTAATCTAGCAGCAGCTAAGGAAAGGGTGTCGGTAAGTTACTATAGCGTCTCATTGAGATAGGGGGAAGTTTACAGCAGGTGAGTGCTGTGATTAGTGAAAAGTTCGCTATGAACATCTGCTGCTAGAGTTTTATATGATATCTCCGCATGTACAAGATTGTGGCTGGTCTAAATAAGCTCTTGCGCTAAATACCACTGAAGCTCTTCAATATCCTAACCATCAACCCATCAACAGCAGTACATCAGCCATTTGAACTGATGCTTCGCTGCCATACAACCATGAGGACCTATGTAATAAAGAATAAGAAGAGGGAGAGAAGGTGGACTTACCTGAAAACCCTATTGCCCTAAGCGAATATTCAGGGCCAAGGCGCCTTCACCTTGGGTAGACAACATACCATCGCAAACAGCTGGCTTTCATGCAAAGAGAAGGCGGAGATGGCGAGACAGCTTCCTTGCGGCTTTCACTGCCTCACGTCATAAGCAGCCATTACCCCACAGATAACTGAGCACCAAACACACTTTAAACAAGCAATCCAATTAGGAGACGGCAGCAGACGCGCCACTAATGTCTACTGCGAGCCATGTCCTGTAAGGTCTCGAGCGAAGCACAAGGCGAGTCACGTGGACTCCAGCCCGGAAGGAGAGACGGACCAACCGCACCCAGTTTGGTCGTCAGTGACTTCATTTCCCGCTGCCAAGTCAACTTCTGTCCACCGCGAGCCTTGCACCACCCTATACCTGGCAGACTAAACAAGGCCCTTCTAGATAAGCGGTGACCAGGCATACGTAGCACGTGCCCGAACCAACGCAACTTATTCAGTGCTATCTGTTGTTCTAGGGAGCTAGCATGATTATCACCATCTAGTACTCGCCTACGCACATCATCGTTGCGTACACGCTGGTGCCATCCGACTCCAGCAATGCTCCGCAAACAACGATGATCAAAGACTTGAAGGCGCTTCGGATCTTCAGACCGAAGGGGGGCCAAGTTTTACTACCATAGAGCAGAACGGCTCTCATTGTGGCCATGTATACACGGCCTTTCAGACGGAGGGAAACTTCCTTCTGTCGCCAAAGATGCCGCAGGTTCACGAAGGTAGCTCTGGCTTTTGCAATGCGTGAGCTGACGTCAGTTTCTATGCGCCCATCATTGCTGATGCTACTGCCAAGATAGGTGAAATGATCAACCACCTCGAGTTCCTCGTTAGCAAGTGTCAAGGGGTCATCAAGTGGCTGGTGGTCCTGCAGCAACACTTTGCACTTTGAAGGTGCAAAGTGCATACCAAATAATGGGACCACAACAGAGAGGCTATTAAGGGTTGATTGCGCCGCCGGAACATCGTCGAAAAGCAAGACGATATCGTCCGCATAATCAAGATCAACTAACCTTTCACCAAGCAGCACTTCAAGGCCTACAGCGTGAGGTTGCGCAAAGGAACACTCCATGATAGAATCCACGACGAAATTGAACAAAAATGGGAAATCGGACTGTTATGTGTTTTTGATTTTGCCGTATTCCATGCTTTGGCATATTTACCGTTCTAATACATGTTTCTGTTTTTATAGCTCATACGTCCGAATTATTAATCGAGTAAAGCCTCCTTATCGGCTTTTGTCTTCTTCCTTCATCCCTGGAATAATCCGTGTTCATTACAATTTACTCGATTAATACAACAATCTCATGGATCGAATCTTACGCCCAGATCGCTTTGATGTGGATCCTCAATCTTCTGATGCCGGCAATCGCTGGGCCCATTGGATCTACACTTTCAACAATTTTTTAGAATCGATCGAGTCCATGAAGCCGGACAAGCTCAAAACGTTAATGAAGTATATCTCATCTGCCCTGTTCGAGGTGGTTTTTCAGTGCTCTTCTTATGAGGATGCCGTCAAAACTCTACAAGATATCTTCATAAAACCCAAAAACGAAATTTTTGCACGTCACATCCTAGCCACTGCCAGGCAAGAAAACGATGAATCGTTAGACCAATTCATTCAGAAGTTAAATTCCGCCGCTAGTGACTGTAATTTCCTACCAGTCACTGCCGACGAACACAGGAATCAAGCTATCAGAGGTGCTTTTATCAGCGGTCTACAATCTAACCTCATCAGGCAGAGATTATTGGAACAAAAATCACTCGATCTTCAGTCCGCTTTCGAGATGGCTAGATCGCTTGACTTGGCCCAAAAACAAGCCGCTTCCTTTCAGCTGACGACTTGTAACTCCACGATGAAAACTGAAATCCCATCTGAGCCGCAGCTATCTTCTCAAGAAGAACCTGTCGCTGCGTCCTCCCAGTCAACGTGTTTCTTTTGCGGCTACGCCAGACATCATAGATCAAGATGTCCCGCCAGAGATGCGACACGTAAAAAGTGTACAAAGAAAGGCCATTTCCAGAGCGTTTGCAAATCCACGCCAAGCACAAATCACGGCTCGAACGTTTCTATGTCGGTTTTATCTTCTGTGACGTCTGCTGCCGCGCCCAGCAGCCTTTGCAGTGTCGTTACTAACATCTTTGTGAATGACATACCGCTACAAACCCTTGTCGATACTGGGAGTTCTGAAAGTTACATTTCCGCTTCAGTTGTAAAACTTAACAAATTTCATATCGAAACATCTCGGGAGCACATCGTTATGGCCTCCACTACTCATTCTAGTTTCACCCAAGGACATATTACTTGCTCCATTCGACACAAAGACACCTGTTATTCCAATGTGAAACTATCCGTTTTATCTAACCTTTGCTCTGACGTATTACTTGGTCACAACTTCCTCAAATATCATCGTAAAATTGAGATATCGTTTCATGGATCCAGACCTCCTTTTACTATCTGTGGCCTAATGGCGGCCCGTGTGGAACCGTTCCCCCTGTTTGAGCACCTCTGTGGTTACGAAGAATGCAATTAAATCTGTGCTTCCTCCACAAACTCGCGTGGCGGAAAGCATATATTGGAACCTATCAATTGCACTTTCGGGAAAACACCATTTATGAACTGCGAGATAATGAATGCATATTCTATTTACCTAAATTCAAGAGCAGTCTAAGGAGAAATTTCTATCTTCTTAGGTATGGCTCCATTTGGAATAAGCTGCCAAAAGAGATTAGATGTATTGAACATTTCTGCATGTTCAAGAAAATGGTAAAGGCTTATCTGTCAACGGACAGAGCGAAATGGATCTTAAAAATTCAACTTGATGATGAAAAGCTGTATGAAGAAGGGCCGGATCATGTATGAAACCGGAGAACATCAACTCTACTGCACCAGAGAAAACCTGATCAGCTAGGATGAGCTGCTACAAACCGCTTCTTATGCTATTCCTTAACGCTAGCTCCCATGCGGTTTTACTCCCCTTAAACTTAATTCATATCAACTGTCTTCTGTTTAAAACCGAGAGCAAAATTATTTACTGGTGCGACGTCAGGAACTATTTTCGTAATTTTCCTCACAAATTGATTGATTCGTAATATTGTTCTGCGATCCCTTTCGCTACATTTGTTCTCCAGTGCTAATCATTTCCCCTTCTTTTCTGAAGTTAACAGTCCAGAAACATATACTTGAATTCAGTGATGGCAATAACTGATTCTCTATGCGACTTTTGCCTATGGACAACTCGTACAGTCATCTGTCTCCGGCTGTCACGCTACACAATTTATCGTATGATCGGCTCGATCGATTTCTACGCCGATGTACAAAACATACCTGCCTATTTTTTACACTAACGATATAGTTTTCACATGATTCCTCTTTTCTATATTCTTCCTTATTTCATAGTTGGCCACGACTAGACTGATCTCCTGTGGTGACGAATTACAGCTTCCAGATTATAAAAGACGTTAACTATGCAAGGCAAATTGCCACCAACTTACTGGCGTATAAAAAAGTGCCATAACAGAATGATCCACATGACGGACTGGGCTAAGCCTTCATGGCCCATAATACATGTACAAAAGCAGCTCTAAAAAGAACAGAGCATATGATAAACTGGTGATGGCTCATATGCTACTATGCCACACCGGCACACGGCCAGTTATTGCATGGACGTGCGAGCGAAACCTTTCGAGGGAATACCTTGCATGGAAGCAGGTCCCCCTGGGGATGATTCCACGAGTGGCCGTATTACTTTAACTGGACATCTGTTTAAATCTGCTTACGTTATTGTTCCTGGTTTTAAATTTCTTTAATTCCTTAATCCTGCCAATTAGTTCAGTACCTGTTTTGGATCCATTGTAAACAGCGTGAACAAATTGATTATTTTTTTGCGATCCTGTTGTACACATTGATCAGACCACATAGTTGGACTGCACCTCGAATCACCGAGGAATATACCATTTATTTATTTAGTTATTTAAATGGCCAGCCGATTGTTACAAAATCTAGACGCCATAGCGAAGCCGATGAAACTTTCATTCAATCTGAAATCAAAAGACTTCCGGCAGATGGCATTATCCAACCTTCGAGGTCGCCGTGGCGAGCGCAAGTGTTAGCAACTACGAGCGGACATAAGAAGCGTATGGTTGTGGATTATAGCCAAACTATCAATCGATTTACCTATCTTGATGCCTACCCGCTTCCAAGGATCGATGACCTCATCGGTAAAATCGCTCGTTTCGATGTGTATAGTACTCTAGATCTGGAGAGTGCTTACCATCAAATACCAATCAACGAGGAAGAACGTAAATACACTGCTTTTGAAGCTGGTGGAAAACTTTACGAGTTTTGCCGTATTCTCTTCGGTGTTACCAACGGCGTCGCCTGCTTTCAACGAGCCA